TTTAGAAAAAAAATGCTATTCCATTCAACCATACAGCTAATGGAATACAATATCACAACGAAAAGTACCCAATGCTCTTCATTATTATTTTTTCCATTAAACAAATATGCACTACTTTTTGTAAGCAATGATGGATAGTGGCTAGTAGTGGAATCCAGAACGTGCGTTTCGTCCTATTTGGGACTCGTCAGCTGAATGTACCTGCATCTCAGAGAGTTGGTGTTCACTCTGGGACTCGAACCTAATACCTTTTTCTTCAAACGCCATCGCGTTATCCAATTAGTTACTGAGTCCTGATAGCCACTTGCTTGTACAATGGGGTGAATTTAAATTCACTTGGTATTATTTGGCTTGTATCTTCCGACTGAGTTTTAAAACTGCAATTGATCAGTCTGTTATTGACATATATGTGCATACTGTACGTATGGCTCGATATTGCCTTAATTCACAAGCTTTTTGTAAGCAATAATGCAGTTTTAAACCTCAATGGAAAGATACAAGCAAAACAATACCAAGTGAAATATGCACTACATTGTTAACTAATCTTTCTTTTTTATATAAATAAATAGATAGTTTTCTCCTTCAAACACATTTCAATGTTGTTTATTTCTTCATTTATTTTTCGATTTTTTGTTTTGTTTAGAATTGAACAACTTTTTTTATATACCGATTTTCGATTGAAATCAACTTTTGAGTCAATAGTTAAGTAATTCATATAATAAAAGCTCATATTTCTTTTAATTGACAGATAGAGAGAGAGAAAGAGAGTGAGAGGATAATTACCAATAGAACACCATATAGGTTATTGACTTATTATTGTCCGACTATAATAATAATAATAAAATTTGCTTAATATTCTCACTCAATATAGATCAATAGTACATAATGTCAGTGTTACTATTATGTTCAATGTTGTTTTTTTTAAAGAAAATAGTTTCTATTGTATTCCTAGTACGTTTTAATTAAGTTAATACAATTATAATGGAAACTATTTTTCATTAGATTGATTAAACCATTTAAAGTAGACTTGTTATTAATACTGATGAAAGAACTTACTGAACATAATGATAAATTAAAATTTTATTTAAATTATCAGTTCTGTTGTTTTTTTTGTTCTTTTAAAGAAACTTTAATTAACATAACACATTTAAGAGAATACAAATATAGACATTACTATTTTTAATCACATATTTAACATATGCATCTATCAGGAAGATTGTGTAGAAATTGGTTTCATTTTTAGTTTTACATTATTTTCAATAGTTGTACACCAACATTTATGCATGAACCTACTTTCGAAGCTGGTCTTACAAAGGAACCAATGGATACTAGATGTAATCATGTGTATGGAGTTGTGGATAGACAGTAAGAAAGAAAAAACGAATATACAATATTTTTTTATTAGTATAGGGTTGTGTAGATTGTTGAGTTTAAATTGATATCATGAATGGATTAATGTTAGACAATCATTGAAAACCTGGAAACATTGGACGACCGTCTTGTCCTAGTGTGGAACTCCTCAGTATTGCGAATACAAGAGCCCACACGGGAGACTCGAATCCAGGGTTTTCAGCCTCGCGCACGAATGATTAATCTTTAAACCAATGACCCGGTTGGCCTAACTTCAACCAATCCATTGGCCATGGCCAGTGGAGTTCAACCGTGTCTGTTGTATGGCAGTTACTCAGTGAAGACAATGATGGATGGTCGTGCAACATTCTTCTACCGGTTGATGTCAGCCCATGTAAAAATTAGTCAGTTATACACGAATGAGGATATGAACAGATGTAAATTAGTGCAAGTCACTAGGTATCTGATAGGTAGTTAAACTGTTTTTCAAAGTATTCCGCCTATTATTTCAATCTTAGGATTTGACAATCGATCAAATTTCTGTCTTTTAATGTGACAGCTTCATCGAATTTCCGCTCCAACTCTACATCAAATTGCTAAATTCTCAGTTCTAAATAAGAACAAAATCTCATCAATACGCGTTAGTAGTAGTTGCATAGAACAAATTATATATATGTGATTAATAAACAATTGTTATAAACTATCTTGTGGTAGTGTTCACAGCGTATATTATTGTATTATAGTATTACTTCAACTTGGTATAAAAATACACATTCACTTGGTAGCCTTGAAGGCGAACCTTTCTGTATGAAGATTGATTAAACTGTAGCAGTGAAGGTGATCTTCAAACCCAAAACTCAGTACTTCAGTTTAAAATATTTTGATCAAGGAATCAATATTAATAATGGTTTACATTATCCCTTTGTTATTATTCATGATGGAATTTTGATCAGTTTTTATCGGTGTATGTGCATCCTGTGAGGATTGCCTCGATGTAATCATTCTGTCACAAGCTGCCAACAAAAACTGATCAAAATTAAATTGTGAATATCAACAACAAGTGAATTTGAGAACTTATGAATGATAATACCAACATTGTGCCCGTTACAGGTTGGTGGTTATATAAACTCAGTAGCTAAGTGGAGAACATGTTGGGCATTGGAAATGAAAACTACTGGATTCGAGCCCCATTGTCAATATCAACAGTAAGTTGCAGGCACATTCAATTGATAAATAAAACGAAACGCGATTCATGAATCTCACTAATAACTAAAATCCATCTAGTTGAAAATGGGTCACTATACCTTATGAATTAAAACTTTATTGATAACCAAAATCATAATACTGAACTATTATTATAACCTGTTTTTTCTCATAACTATCAACTTTCTCCAATCTTTTTTATTTCCTTAATATTAAAAAATGAATTTATTCAACTTTATGAGAATAGTCTCAGAAATTATTAGACTAATTGATGTATGTTTAATAAAATCTAACTAGAAACACGCAAATATATGAATTATTTAGTGAACAGAATTGTCTATTCGTTAAACTACATTGTTTGCATGATATTTATATTTAAAAGACTCTTTAACATAAAATGGCTACAACGACACAAAATCACAATGAATACAACTTATTATACATTTGCATGACAACCAATCTGAACAAACACTCTGTGATTAAATTACCAGACAACTACAACTTATAACTGTAATTTACATTCTATTGTTTAACAAAACGTTAGCGGGACATAAACTGGATTACAACATGCTCAATGCACGATTGCTTTGGTGCACGGTGATTGCCTAATTCTTATCCAATCAGCACTAGTCGATACTTGGAGAATACTCTAGAATCTTCTCATGTAAAAACTATAAATATACTAACGTTTTCCCTATTGTGCTTCTTACTTCCACCTAACTTTGTTATTCGGAATATAATCTCTTTCCTGTTCAACCGTGTTCTGATTTGGGGACTTGTCGAGTGAATCGGTGTCCGAGAATACTAAGTAATAGGAATAGCTGGGTCATAACTGTAAGAAAGAGAATATAACACAAAATAAGACCCTATGAGCACAGGAAATGACAAATTTATTGAATGATCTGCTGAAGAGCATTAAACAGCAACTAGGTAATGTGTGGCAGTATCACAAAAACAATTTATTCGTACTACAACACATAAAAACGAACAATATAGTTTTCAATAAGATTCTCACCAAACTTTAATATACAATAATATTTACAGGCATATACGAAATTATTAAACCAGTCAAGGTAGTTTATGAGTCAATGATAACAGTGAGATGGATTACATAAATAAACATAATAAGTAGAAAGTACAAATTGATAGTGTGATGACAGGTGTACTAGTTGTGGTAAGAATAACAAACGCTTCAAACAATATTTTATAATGAGAAATAGGTCAATAACTTGTAAAATATAGATCCTGAAATAACATTCATTAGAAACTAAAGCATTACGCAATAGGATGTGTTCAGATAATTGGACAGAGTAAAGTATATTTGAAGGAACATTGAGCGAATAAAAACGTATGACAAATAATAATAAATAAAATCGTTTATTAAGGCCAATTCTGCGACGGGATGTTACAATTTTATGAAACTATATTGTGAGATTCATGATGTGTACAAAACTTAAACGGGAGAACAGGAAGATGCCATGTCTCTGATACAAAGACTAATCAATACTAAAACCGGTTTCTTCTTAGCAGGATTAATTTTTTTAACGTTATTCATCATAACACTCAAGATTGTAAATAAATATTATAAGTACCTTTATTATCGGCGTTTCTCACTCATACGAAAGCAGGAATAAAACCTACAATCTCCACAAATCCTTCCGCACTGATAATAATCATGTCCATGTTCAAGATGTAACTCACACAGTACTAATTAGAAGTCAAGTGCACTTCAGCCATATTAGGTTACTTCCTAAATGCTCGACTATAACCAGCACAAAAATAATGTTTTAATAATTGTCATTTTGAATTTTCAAGACCGGGGGTCAGGTTCCAGGAAACTCTCATCCCCAGTGATTGATATCTAAGGACACATAATGTGCAAACACTCATGCATCTTTCCGAATATCATTGTCAGTTGGAGGAGGAAAGAATGTTTTACTTTCTTTTATTATCTCTTCGATGGTTACAAGGCTGGGTTCAGAGTTCATTGGCGCCCAGTAGAAGTATTGCATTGACTTCAATCAATGCGCTGAGATTTGATCACCGTAGATAGATTAGGCTCGTAACAAAATTATCCTCAACTTTTGAGTTATTTTGTGTTCACCAAGTAACCACAAAAAGATCAATTTTAATAACTTTAAAGTCACACTAATTGCTCATCAAGCCAACACACGTTAGAATGACATTTCAGAGACAATTTCTTAGATGAATTAATATTTATTTACGATTAATTAAACACATGGTTTTTCTTTCCGTTACAAAAGAGCTTTAATTTGTTAGTATTAATACAAGAAGTAAAAGCATCTCATAATGTAAACATGTTTCTAGAATGGTGTCTTGCTGTTAAAGATGTAAAGATACACTGAAAGCTGGAATAATATTATCGTTCAAATACCTCATTAGTAACTCAATAGTAAAGAGAATCAAAACATATAGACACGACTTACGGCGATCAGAGAAATCGTCAACAAGTATAATTTCATTTAACAAACTTGGTGGAGATCGATCTATCACTGAATGTACTGAACGTAATAATACTGACCAAGCTTCATTATGAAAACAAATTATAATTGATGCTGAGGGCAGATTACTTCTATATTTATCGACTTTACACCTAGAATATTATTAACAAAGATAAGAGTTATCAGTCATAATGACATCAGAACAAAGACAAAAGAGTAAAGTTACATAAGTAAACAAGTTTGTAAGTAGTGATGGCATACAGTTAAAGGAACAATGAATAGATAAACATGACGTATGTTATTTCATAGGGCCATTTTAAGCCACATAGATTGAGTAATACAATATACTCTGAATATATTTGACTGCTCATTGTACTGATGCTAAAAACAGTAAATAAAAATTGGTGAAGTAATAAACTTTGCCATAACATTAACAAAGTGCCATAATATTCGTCAATAAATCCATAACTTATTTCAGTGCTGGGATTAATCAATATAAAAACATCAATATTTGTCAGTTGAAATGATAACTGGTTCAAAACGATATCGCTACAAACAGGTAAATGCTTGCCTTCATCTGTTATCTGAAATTTATATATAGGTGTATATGCATATTGGTGTATATACCTATTATATACTCACATACGGGTATAGATTCAAGGGTCAAACAATTCGTAGTGAAAAACACAAAATAATCGAATTATTTCTAAATCATTTAAATTTACCAGTCACGAAATGTATAACTAATTGATCATACGGTATTCGGGTGGAAAATGGTAACACTCACTAAATTATTACAAGCTTTTTATAGTCCTATTATTGTCACTATAGTCAGTTATGTTCATTTATCAAGTAATTAAGGCAGCTTTGTTCCAATTACTGATAAACATCAAGGACAATAGGTATTCACTTGAAAACTGTATGATAGTTGTTAAAAGAAAATGATGATTGAACTTGAAACACTAAATTATAGTCAAAATCAAATTGAAGATGGTCAAACTACTGTTTTAACAGATGAATTGTCAGTAAACGGCATTTTTATCATCGTCAGGTTATCCAAATACAATTTGTAATAACTCCAGTGAAGCAGACACTACATTTAGTCAATCCATCTTAAAGCTTATTTTATAAGGAATACCATTGGTTCTCCAAAGGATATTCTTTTACTTTGATCACGAGACAAACTGAATAGCAAACATCCTCACTTAGAAACAGTTAATTATTTGAGAAAATAAAACAGCTGTAGCAAGTGAATAATGCCTGATAAACAGTATAGAAAACAGAGAGTAACAATCTACATACTTAGTACTGAGTTCAGTACATTCAAGCATGTGTTCGTTACTTACTTACTTACGCCTGTTACTCCTAAAGGAGCATAGGCCGCAGACCAGCATTCTCCAACCCACTTTGTCCTGGGCCTTCTTTTCTAATTTCATCCAATTCTTGTTCATTTTTCTCATGTCTGTCTCCGTTTCCCGGCGTAATGTGTTCTTCGGTCTTCCTCTTCTCGTTTGGCCTTGAGGATTCCATGTGAGGGCTTGTCTTGTGACGCAGTTGGGTGCTTTCCTCAATGTGTGTCCTATTCACCTACAGAGCTTCTTCCTCCACTGGGATTTGGTTCGTTCTCTCACACAGTAGCTTGTTCCTGATAGTGTCTGGTCAACGAATCAGAAGTATTTTGCGTGGAGAGCTGTTAATAGACAATTGTATCTTCTGGATGATTGCTTTCGTAATCCCCCACGTTTCCGCTCCATACAGTAGAACAGTTTTGACATTTGTATTGAAAATCCTGTCCTTGGTGTTGGTTGACAGTTGTTTTGAGTTCCAGATGTTCTTTAGTTGTAAATATGCTGCTCTTGCCTTACCGACCCGCGCTTTCACATCTGCATCAGATCCACCAATGTTCATCAATGATGCTGCCCAAATATGTAAAGGTTTTTACATCTTCCAAATCTTCTCGGTCAATTGTGACTGGATTGGTGCATGCTGTGTTGTATTAGACAATCTTGTTTTTCCCTTTGTGTATATTGAGACCTACTGCTACACTGGTCGTTTTCTCCTGCATTTGTTGTTCTGATGCTTTTAAAGCAATGAGTCGTAATCTAGTGGCCTGCATTTCTAACTTCAGTCAGTATAAAGTGTGATTCTCGTCAAATGTGATTTATTGTTTTGGTTGCAACTATGTTGATTTCATGTCTCAAGGTCTACCATTACTACGTTTATTCAAGAATTTCTCTTCCCAGGTTAACAACAACGTCTTAACCATTAAGTCATTCTTTCACAACATACGTTGAATACATGAGATGATATCATACACATGAAGGAGTAGTGATGACACCTAATAGTTTAGACTTTCTTAATTCTAATGAAATTCGAAGGTATGATCGACTAGCTTATGCTCGAATGTATGAATTGCAAAAATTATATGCATTCTTTAACCGTTAGTCCACCCTCCTAGCACCCATGATATTCCCAACATTTTGAAGACCTGACTTTGACCCGGGTAGCCAACTAACATTTCCAAATTCACAACAAAATTATAGAAAGTGGTTTAATAACCACAAAAATACCAATCACACGGAATAAAAAAAATTAGCAAACAACAGTAAATCCATTTACATAGAGAAAACAAAATTAATAATCACAATTTCGACGGTTACTTACGCTCCTTCTCTATAGTCTGGCAAATATCGTCTCACACTAATTCGATCGCTAGCATATTGATTATAGGCATTATCTTCCCAACCCTTGTCGAATATTAACTGTTCAGCTGGTGATAAGTCTTCACGATTTACTGTATATGCTTTACCACCTTCACCTTTTATCCAATATATTGTGATTTGATCGTCGGCAAGTCAAAAGTTCATGTCATTCAAATGACAAACCGTATAAAAAATAAATAAATAAATAATAATCAATTAATCAGTGTTTAGTCGGATGTTAAGGCGTGAAAAAAAACAAAGTATTTTTATATTTGACAATATGAAGTAGCATTAGCAAGAAAATTAGTGAAAAAAAGTAAGTGTTAGTTTAGGGAACTTTGCTAATGAATACTCGAGAGTTTAGATGCAGTAGAACTCTGTACATTCAGGTTTCGCAGTGAATGTGTTACTCTAAGGTAACTAAATCAGGACCAATTGGTCCAATTTTTTCCAAATTCAGTAGCAGCAAACCCCATATTGTTCACAATAAAAAACATACTTACCTAGCCACTCGAAGGAAAATCGGTAAACATAAGAAAGACAACCATTTAAACTAATGATGCTGACTTAATGGTCTACGTGTTAAGGGCCCACTGCGAAACCTAGAGTTCTTTGTTCGATCCCCGGTAGTATAGTAGATGCATACTGCTTACGAGTTTCAAACTGGAACAAAATATCTTTGAACTGCTTTCGGGTTTTTAATAGTTGGCTCACTAAAATCAGTCTATGATGTAACCTACAAAAATTCAAGTCTCCACAAACCCCCATAGTGAAAACGGTAGAGTTAACGGTGAATTAGAGTATATAACTGAACATAAACTTTTTCATTGAAGATAATTACAGTTTCAAAAGTTCATTCATATGAAAATATTCACTTGTTTACTGATTTACACAATTGCTGAGATTGAGAAAATCAAGCGAAATTGTTAATAGTAATTGGGATTTGAAGTAGCGGACAAAAGTCCATATTACAATAAAATACAAAAATATTTATGTAAATGAATCGATACACGTACTTCATCCACAACAAATGCTAATCAAAGTGGAAACATCAAATTAATGTCCTTCTTAAATGAATAACAATCACTACAATTGAATGATATGCAGAAATAATAAAAGTGATCGATTCCGATGGAGTAACAGTTTTATTCAAAAAAGCAATTAATTCAGCAGATAACAATGGTTAGTTTGAAGTGCTTAAAACATCTAAAGTCTTTATATGAGTCTGTTATTCATGAGCAGTTTAGAATGTGGTATAAATTTGAATTGGCCAACTTTTTTCACTTATCGACTAATCCATCGAATGGTCTTACACAAACATATACGTCAGTAGTCTTTACCGTTCAATGTTAGTAAAAAAACTATAAAAGAAAAAATTTATCCATACTATTCTACATCGATTATTATTCATGATTTAGCAATAATTGTTCGTGATTTTACTGATGGGTAGATCAATAAAAATAAGTTAAACCCTATAGTAGTTCTAACAAAAAAAAATAGTCTTCGTGTGCGTATCCAAGATCACTGTCTCCGGTGCGTTTTGAATTACCTCAGATTAAAATAACTCGAAATTCATAGTTAACAAGCCTCGTAGAACGAAATGCATAGATTAAAAAACGTTTGCTTAGAAAGCCATGTGAGTGAGTTAAAATTAGTAGCAATAACTAAGTTAGAAGATACACTGACCTGGACCTGTTGAGTATTCGTCGCTTTTTGGAGGAGGAGAACTAGGAGATAAGCCTAATTTGGCTATGACTGATAGTTTATCTGAACGACTGCTTTCAACAGGTTCATTACCGCCCATAATTCTAGACTTTTCCTTATAGTCAGGTTGCACAAGCACATTATTGTCCTGATTAACAGGCGGCACAATATCAGGCAAATGATTTTCACCGTGTTCATCATCGACAGATCGGCGTTTCGCATTTTCATGACCTGTTAAAGCAATCAACGAATAATATCAGACTAACGAAGATTCATATTTGAAATTCAACTAAAAATTTTATCGGAAATGAAAGCTAAGTTCAAAGGTAATAATAATTCTAGATGATTTAACTAACTGTTTCATCCTACGATAAGGGTGCTTCTATCTAACAAGCCTTCATTCATGTTAGACACAACAGTAAACGGTATTGGGATAAACCATTACTCAACATGAAGATCTGCTTAAAATTCTATTAAGATAAATCAGTTTCGATTTATTTGAATAACTCAAGTATATATCTATTTTTTCACATCTTTAACGGTTGATATGTTATTCGAAGTAAAAAATGATCAGGTGAATTCAGGTCTTCGTCAAACATGTTGATGTGACACCGCTTTATTACGTATAAATATCTGAATGATTGCATTATTATTAATTAGTTCTGTCAAGATATATAAATCGTTCCACGAACAATCTGTGAATGTTAAAAATATCAAAACACCCTTAATTTCAGTGGAGATTAATTAATAAAATGAAATATTTCATCTACATCAAAAGTGAATATAATTTAACTGCTGATTCGTCTAATTAGTTTTGAAAAATTAACAGAATTTCACGACTTAATGCTTATGCTATCACCTTCAATAGTCACTCCCTCAAAAGTATTGCAATTTCAATGAATGGGGAGAAAACAGTAACAATTATCAAACATTAGAAAATTATATACGATTCCACATTGCGTAGTTTAGATAATATAGCGATATCCTATGTCTTATGGCTAGTAAAAGTGATGTTATCTCTGATCATGAATTCATCTTATACTTCAAATTATCAACGACTATGTATCAATAATTCGTTCAAAATAATCTACGAAACACTCTTTCTAGAATGGTATACAATTATTTTTTCTGAAAGCTTCACCTTTTGTATCAATCTGAACATCCTTGTAAATTAGTGTGCACCCTGTAATCATTCTTGGGATATGCATATGCATACATATATATATTATAAATAGATACGTAATTGTTTTCATATGTAACTCGTAACTAAGTTCACGTAGAGATATTGTGGCGACCGTAAAAAAACAAAACACTTCTTGTGTGCATTAGACTATTGGACCATGTCCTTACTATTAAGCAAATAATTCACTTGGAGCTGTTAAGTAATTTCACGAGGAATCGATTTTTGATAAATCTATCAAAGGTTTAAGCTTCATTTCCATTAATTGTCACTATGAATTCCAGATTACATTCCATAGTTTGTTTGTCAGAATTACTGACTGATGCATGTAAAATACACACCAATATTGTTCTGCTAATTAATTTAATTTTTATAGGAAAACCAATGTGGTGTATTTTTGCTTATGTATACCACTTCTGAAATATTTTATGAGCACAGTTTCTTAAATTGACTAAATACTTCCGACAGATTCGAAAACTTTAAAATTATAATGTACATATAGGAAAATTTACATAATAAAGTCAGTCCATTTCGTAAATTTCCCTCTTGATTTTGTACACAAATGGTTTTATTTTCAAAATTAGTAAGAGCATAGTGAATGAATACAAAATTATTATATAAAATGAATTCACATTGAATTTTCATAAATCCCTTCTAATAAATGGTGAAAAAGAATATACCTCTTGGACTACTGAAATCTTTGCCAATTGGAGGATATGGACGAGCGTTCGGAAAATGAGGTATTTTTAGATTATTCCCAATAAGTGAATTGTTCTTTTGGGACTCATCTTGATATTTTAGTTCCTTATGACTTGGTTGACGTGCTAAGATTTGATTATTTTCTACATATATTTGATCCGGTAAATAGGCTGAATCTGCATGCAACTTACCATGGTCAAGTTTATCTATTTTTATCCACATAATCAATAGGAGTCCAAAACACACTAATCCCAAAGGCAACAGTTTATTTTTTCTCCAGAATAAATGAAGCAAAATTCTTCTGCGCATGCTGTTCTAAAGGATAATCGTGTCAGTGGATCAACAAAGCAGTGCCCTCTGAAACCACCTGATATAAAGCGAAATGCAACAGAAACAGTGAAAAAAGCAATGGAAGCTAGATAAAGAATCTACCTATTCAAGTAAATATTTAATGAATTTTAAATACTACAAATAGGGTATTTTTAAGTTCTGCTTAAAAGTGATGGAAGGTAACTTTATCGATGCATACGAAAAGATTAGAATATAAAGCCAATCAATGCATTATTATATGGTGGCTGTGTAGTACGTCATGATTTTTATGAAGTTCGAGAAGTAATAGCAAAACATGATTGAAGTAATCAAGAAACATAGTTTTATTTGTCTGTAGCTGCACAGATCTACTCATTTTTCGCCTTCCACCAAATAATGAGTTTTACCATCATTTCATACTGATTATTTTCAAAGTTTGTTTGTTGTTTTTGAACTGTACGATTTGTTATTCCCACTCCTACCAAACCATGGTTTTGAGAATGCAATTGCGTTCCTGTTCAACCATGTCCTGACTCGGGAATTAATCGAGTAATGTGAAGTGTCGAAGGAGTACTAAGCAATAAGAATAGCTCGGTCGTAATAAGAGATATCTTAACAGCGAGCGACGAGTCGTTAGAGATGTAATTAAAAAATAAAAGCTACTGATACACATCTATCAGATGTACTTTTGTCCTAACCAACATAACCTGTTTACCAAGGACAAGTCCAAGTACCGTCTTTAACATACACTAACTCCTGATACGTTTGTTTAGCTGTGGTGATTATTTATTTTGTATTATTGTTTCAACTATCAAGAACTGATGAATTTACGAAATTTGTCTACGTGCCGAGTTAGCGTGATGCCTTATTATAAATAAACTAGATGTTTCGTGTCACTGAAATACTCTACAAAAATTTCGAAATAATGCTCAAACTTTTGATTCGAAATTTCAAACTTACAGGAAAGAAGAGCATGTTTACATTTGTAGCGGTAAATAAATCCCCAAAATAAACAGCTCTGTAAGTTTTCGACATTGGATGCTGACCATATGTTTTAGTGGACTCATCTAGCTGAAGGCGCTCGGTCAGGCATCCGCACCAGATCACGTGTGGTAACGCCGTGCTCAACATCAACCGCAATCGCTAGCCAGATTAGATCAGAGAATTCTGATATTTTGGTCATCGCCAAATACACTCTTCTGATCTCCTCGACTCTGTCTTTTGATTTCTCTGGGTGGGTACAAATCATATTAGGTGTTACTGGTAGAAGCGTTGTCAAACACTAAATACCTGTGTCATCCTTCACATTCTTATGACTAAGATTGATTTTGACAAATGTCATCTACGGTTTCAGTCATGAACTCCAATTACTTTGTGAACTTCAAATATGAAGTCTGCACCTCTTGAAATGGCTCAGTCAAGCAACCGTTGAATACGTGGACTGATTTCTTTTTTAGGTCCCAGCACACTTAACCATTTAAAACTTAATTCCACGTTTGACGACAAACTGTGAGTTTAGGTTTATTTGGTGTATGTTTTTTGAATGAGTGCAGAAGCATTATTAAATAACAGTTCTGCCTCAAGGACAAGTGTCGAAACTTTCATCTGTCAGAGAACCTCTTATAGCCAACATATAATACTCGAGAAAGTTTATTACAACTTCAGGAAGACAAGACCCATTCGCCGGTGAGAATCTGTGTGTATATCATTGCTTGCTTCCTAACCACTGAAATACAAGACATTTTAAGCAACGGAATGTCCGACAAATGTTATAAGTATGACCATTGCCATCAACAACCAAAAACATGGTATGACTGAAAAATAGTAACACCAGAGATATACCGCGATTCGCGCCACAACAAAATTGAATAATACCGATATTGAGTCTTTCTAGAAATTTTACCCGAAGAACAAGTAAAATCATAATAGTCAGAATGATCAATGCGCTCGATTGTGGACAGTAGATAGCGAAAATGCTTCTCTGTTCACCTAGAAGATGAGGCGAACACTTTAGGTGCAAGGAAAGGCTAGAACAAATGAGAGCTTACAGCTAGTAATATATCAAGACTTAAGAATCAGGATCAGTAATGAATGCCTACGTAAGCATTGTCTCATACGAGACACCTTATCCAGGGGATCTAGTGAAAAAATGCCACTTGATAGAACACGTGTTCTTCAGTAGGACTGAAACACAGTAAAACATTGATTTCTGATGGGAATATAGCAGAATCAACCTAGTAACTTGTGTCATAAGACACATATGTTTCAATAGTTCCGACCGCGAGACACATAATTGCCGAAATAAGTGTCAAAAACTTTTAGAAAAAGGTACATAACAATAATTGAATAATATATCTGATTCTGTGGACCGATTAATGTGCAACAAATGACTAAACTTACGACCCACTAACACCAACGCCTTCAAGTTATGTGGGACGAATTGTGCGCTGACTTCACAAGGTTATAGGGTCACTTAATATAAAAACGGCTAATGGGTTAAACACTATAGTTCAAGTAGTGGATGGGAGAGAGGACACTATCGCCCAACGAGTCACCGTATGTAGTATCGGTGGATCACCTATAATTTTATGTAGAAACCTATGCATAAATAATCGTAGATTATAATAAAACATTGAATTACATTCAGATTAGATTCAGATTTATGTAGTTAGGACAGAAACCCTACAGTCTGTGTCATTTCTTTACAAGTATGCTTCTGTGAGTGTATATTTTTCTCCTGAGAGAGTCAACTGAAGACGCAGACACCACTGCTTTTTGTAATATGTTCCAAGAACTGATGACTTGGTGTGAAAACCTGTATGCCACGGGTATTTTGTCCATTCTTGGCTTAGAGCTGGCAGCCTGAACGCGATTTTCAATGATAGTTCTCACTAAGGTACTTAGCAATGCCAAGATTTTCCAGATTCAGTCTATTTGTTGATACCTTATCAAATGCTTTGCTAAAATCTGCATAGAGAACATACACTGATTTTCCATTGTCTTGAGCCTTTATCTGTTGCTTCCTTACTATAAATAGGTTTGTTATGCAAAATAAACCACTTCTAAAACTATTTTTTTCGCTGCTTAACAAGTTATTGGTTCCCAGGAATATCATCATGGTCTTTTTGAATACTGTTTCCAGTATTTTAACTACGACCCTGGTGAGGCTGACACGTTTGTAGTTCGATGGAAGTTGTCTTGGTTCTGTTTTATGTATTGGAGTGACGACTGCATCCGTCCAGTCAGTATGTAGCTCACCTTGGTCAAGTGACATATTGAATACTACACATTCTGAACTGCGGTATACTACAACTAATTCAATAATTCGTCGTCTACATTTCGGCCTGTAACACACCAGTTCAAGTCTAGTTGTTGGCCCCTTTTTGAAAGATTCTTTTAACTCAAGAAAAATGACTGACCTGCCAGCGTGGGTCGTTTCAACACGCTGTGGAATTTTAATCCACGAAATCTTCCTCGTCCTGCAATCCGATATGTCGTCAAATGCAGAGGCCTCACTCTATTCCCTTATTTCTCCTTTTCTGGGTGTAACTGTAAGTCAATCATTAATCTTATTGTGCCTCTTGATCACACCATCTACACCGTACAGATTATGCCCCCCATAGTTTGTTCTGAGTTGATATGTGAAACCGAAACTGAAACCGCACATTCATATACCTTAGTGCTGCCTATAATTTCTGTCTTCTCAGCGTCCTTTTTCTTCCACCTTGTAACAATGCCTACATCGGTTTTATCCGCTTCCCTAATGAAGCCCACCTTTATAGTCTCTTTTAAATCAAGAGCTGGGCTTATGATAACGCTCTTTATTTCCTCGGAAGCTGAATTTCGCTCATTTACTTACTGACTTCCTTACGCCCGTAACTCCACGCGAGGGGGGCGTAGACCACTCAAAATCACTCTCCACCCAACCCTGTCCTGGGAAATCCCCTCCAGTTCTTTTCAGTCGCTAAGCATTCTTTTTTTATGTGCTTCCGTCTCTCGACGTAATGTGTCCTTAGGCATCTCTCTTTTCTGCTTTCCTTCCGAATTCCAAGTTAATGCTTGCTACGTGATGCAGTTTGGTGACTTCCGTCATGTATGTTCTATCCACTTCCAACATCGTTTCCCGATTTCCGCTGCAGCTGGAAGCTGGTTTGTCCATTCCCACAGTAGGCTGTTACTGATGGTATCCGGCCAACCGGTGTTGAGTATTTTACGTGGACAACTGTTTATAAATACTCATCTGCTTCTGCCTGTTTATCTGAGGGCAATTTTATAGCTCTGTTCAGAACATCACTCGCCTCAAGAATCATCAGAGACTTTGTAGAGCAGCATGTTTTGCATAGCCAAAGAGATAGTGGCTTACAGTACCCTTTATTTGCATCCGGTGTGAGTTTAATGCACATGTTGTGAACATGTTGTTGTAGTTGCCACATTGCATTCCATCATCGACCGGGAAATAGCATGTGAGTCTACCAAAATGATGTTTTACTTGTAATAACATTTTTTTGTTCTCACAGGAAGAACTACAGCGACAACTGATTCCTAAAATAAGTTACCTTAAAAGCTCCATAACTGATAGATAGTGAACACAAAAACAGAGGTTTGTATATTTCCACATCCAAGAACAATAAAGAATTCAAGTACAGTAGATACAGAAAAACCTTGACACCTTTGGAAACAAGTAATATTAAATGATATACTGAACGAGGAGAAAAATACTAGTGCCCTTTTCTTAACTGTACTCAAAAGTACAGATAGTAAACGTCTCTAGAACAAAGTGATACTCTTGAACGTTACTTAAACTGAAATTAATTCAGTTGAGGCAAAACAGTAGTCTTTATGATCAATTAAACGACCAATACTATAAAATATACCACTGTCCCGTTTAAATAGGGCGCGTTGCGCTGGATCACTTACGACATTTCAAGTTTTCTCTCGAAGTCCTACGAAGTCAACTAAACCACCTCAGCCGGCAGAGAATCTCAGGATTAGACTACTCATAAACATTGCGTGTGTCTATAATTCATTTCGCTGTTAAGCCTCTAAACTCTCCATGTCACTCCAAAGATTTGTGTGAGAACAAGCCCTATATCAGCTTTCTGAGGGAGCAAAATAGTGTTTACAATGGTTTATGAAACTGTGGGGTCGCCACTGGGCTTATGCTCGAATGATCATAGGGTAACAACATTACTTGATCTTTTTCAACTCAGAACACCTCTAGAAGTTACTCAAGTTGTATGAGTGGTCTGAAACATGTTTCACATGATCTATTTTGGACTTCAAAGTGTGGAGTGAAAGTAGGTCCATTGTTATCTACCTAACTTTGAAGTCCAGCCAGATCCTCATGAAGTCCCATCTTATCATCTTAGTTGCAAACTTCTCACCAACGTTCAGTATCGTTATTTAAAAGCAAAAATTTAGTTGACACATTCTGGAGAAGACCATTCATATAAATAAAGAGAAATCCTACAACTGGATCCTGGTGGGACCGAACTGGTCATCCTGGATGTGGTATGTAGTAAACCAATCTGTTAATGACGCTTTGACACTTAACACACTAACGTCATTAATGAAATATATATGATTAGCCCTACTGAAAGTTTCCGAGAGTTCTAAGTATATCACATCTTCCTTTCTCTTGTATGCACGAATAGTTGTCCATTTGATTACCCCAGTCGGAATATTGGTTAGCCAAGAGCAGCCTGTGATGATTAGGATTGTTTGAATTATCATACGAACCACAAATCCTTGGAATCACACAATTTATACAAGCAGAACTAGATGAGCACAAACGAACTTTTTGCATTCGGAATTTGAAATCAGGCAGACATCAAGTACAAAGGAATCATTAGTTCATACAAAGACCACACAACCCCATCACGAAACTGTGTTTTGGGGTGAAAGGGACTTTGTAGATAACAGGTGGTTGCATAGACCGTCTCATACCAAGGACTTCATAACTTCTCAGAATAGTGAGAGAAGTGCTTCCGGTCGTTAGCTTGAAGGTTGATTTTATCGGTCCTCTTTGGGAACCCGTGGGATATGCGTCAGCTTCCTGTTTTCTAAGGCCATGTCTTGGCTTAGGAAATTTGAGTACATCACACTAAGAGGTGGTTTTAAGAGTGAGGCCGCTTCCCTCAGTATAGCAGAGCAGACCATATCTGAACCACAAGAAGTAATTTTTTAGATTCTTCAGTTTGTGATATGACAATTATGACCTTAGGTTTGTTTGTGAGATTAGTCTCAGGCTAAAAGCCAATCTCACATCGACATAGGTTGTATATGACGGTTGAAATGTTTGAAAATACTGTTTTGTCAGGAATTCTGAGTCATCACTTCCAATTCTGGCCAGACGATTAAGGCGCAACAACCGGGAAAGTACATTTTGGCTTGTCGAAGATAGGTTGCATGACCGACTGAGTTTTTCTGATATCAAAAAAATTCATCAATTAGCCTGATCTGATACTGAAGACTGTCTTGTTCTAGTGGTTTATGCATTGGTTTGTCGATTATTTGATTCGACTGCATGTGCTGTTGACACTAATTTGATGGTATTCTACCCTGTAGTACCTCATGAGGCTTAGCCTTGAAAGGGTACCACTCCTTACGATTTTAGACCGCTTGTAAATTCTGAGGACAGTTTTGGAAACTGGCTAGTTTGTAGCACATACGATAGAGTGTTGTAAGGAACCCCAATGGTCGTCCATGAAACACTGACCGTAGACTTGCCTACAGACTGCCCTACGAAGCTAACACACATAGTTGCTTACAATTCCAACGCCTGCTGTCAGTTGGCGTTCGTCCTTGGTTTTGCTAATATATTTGAGGAATATGGTTGTACAATATCTTTGTTCTGGGGCAGGCAGGGTTGAGGAGTAGTCAGTTGAGAATTCAATGTTTGTGATGATGCACTTGAGGTGCGACGACATCTGGCTATTTCTTCACCGAGTTTCTAGCTCTACATCTTCTTACGAGCTTTAGTGGCTCAATATCTGACTCTAGCTGGATCGGACGGATAATCTTTATCGAATGACTACTGCCTAAATATACATCTCTGCTACTCTCACGTATAATCATCGACTTAAATTGCACTATTGAATATCGGAATTAAATATGTCCACAAACAGAACTAAGAGCCTTCTTGGTGCGGTCCACAGAATGTAAACGATCCCTCTGTCAGATGTTAAAGTCAAAAACAATCAAGAAGCTTTTTTGAGGCTCCGCCAGATTCTCTGACGGCAGCGGTCAATACGTTACAAATAATGACAAAATTGCTCTGCACAGTTCCCTACAAAGCATCATTATCACCTTAAATAGTCTCACCGGTATCAACGGAACTACTTCTTATGATCTATTATCTAACCTGCGTCTTCATGAGTACTCTTAGTTTCTTGTTTTAACTCTAAATACCAGCTCTTTGATGAAATTAGGCATCTTAAAACGGTTTC